GCATATTTTTTCCAGTTGCAGCACGGCTTAGTTAAAATTCCTATTTCTGTTTTCCTATGTTTAAATACATATTTTGACATTTTTTTTAAAAAACAGCATGTTTTTACACACCTGTACTGTCCAATATGAGAAGCCAGTAAAGTTTTTCTGCACAAGTCAATTACATTCTGTCTAAATACAGTAGAACACAGGTGCACTTAGGAGCATGTTGATATATTCTTCAGTGAATTGTTAAGTGCACCTATTGATGACTTTTCTAGTCATATTAGTGAAGATGTCTTACTGGTACTTATTTTCAACGCAGCATTTTGACAAGTAATAGCTCCAGTATTACCCATCAAAACATACTTAGGAGGAAAGATCTGAAATTTGCTGCTAAAACTCTGCACAATAAATGCAAAACTACCTTCATCAAAACCACACAAAACTCTACTGCACAGACTGCACGTGTCTGAAAGATCTACATGCATTTTATAGAGTCAAGAAAACTACATTATTTTAGTTTTCTTTGCTTATCACTTACTGTTGTGTCTATTCTATTGCTTTGTCTTAGCTATGAAGTCAAGTACATTGTATATCAGTGTCTACTCTGCCATCAACAAAAAATGTTAGTAAGTTGTGCATTTGGAGTAGAAGAATTTAGGTTTCTTTCCACACTTGCCTTTAAGTTGTCCTTGCCAGTATCAAGACTTAGAAATCTTTGGTGGCCAGAAGTTTGTTTCAAAGCTATTACCCAGGTACAATATGCTTTCCACCATACTTATGCAACTTGTTGGGGATTTTGTACTAGTTGTTGGGCTTTTGTACTAGTTGAATCCGAATAAAGCTTTCCTGATTAACTTAGTATACACCCCTAAAAAACCCCAACCAAACTCACTAAACAAAACAAATCCTTATTTTACTCCATCTTCAAGACTGCTTGACATTTCTACTGTCACCCAATCCCTATTTTTCTTACACATGAATAGTCTATAAATCTTTAAAAAATTAGTTGAAATACTCAGATGGAGTGTTCTGATTTGGGGAGACTCAGAACTGTTGCTTGATGCTTGGAACAACAGAGGTTCCTATTTAGCATTTCAGAAACAGCAGATAAAGTCCATCTGCTTTTTCTCATCACAGTGCCAGCTCTCCTGACTTCCTCAGGTATCACTGACCAGTTGAGAGAAGCTAATATAGAAAATATTGTAATGAGGTTAAGGAGAGAGTTAAGTTTTTTCTATCAGTTCCCAGACAACATAGCAATTGTATTCAAAAAACTGAATTATAAAGCAAAGAAGGCAAGGATTGAATTAACTTTCAAATGGACAATCTACAACAGTATCCTACCCTGAAAAAGGAGACAGGATTAAATGTTTCCTGTTGGAGGCAATATTATCTTCTGCCATAAAGATAGATTCCTCATCTGATCACTCATATAATTCACTAAAGTACATGAGTCCTTAAAACATTCAATTAAGAGGATCTAAAAAAAATCTAATCTGCATGGCTGGGGACAGAGGGAAAGACAAGAGAAGTGGGGATGAGAGCACATTAAAGCTTTACATGCTTTACATATTTCCTTAGTGTAACACACAACTGCTTTTCTTAATATCTTGCAACTTCGATATTGTTCTTTTATTTCAATAAGATTAAACTTATATATGTGACAAATATGCTACCAACCCTGTTCCATGCACTGCCAGCATGTATAATCCTTTATGATAAAAATTATATTTATGGTAGATGAATGATGGGACTGACTTTCTCTCTCTAGTCTGGTTTAGGTCAAGTGAAATTCAGGTGATGACATTTAATACGAAACCAACTAAGTGTGAAAGGTTATAAGTGAAAGATCTTTTTTTTTACTGCAGCTTTCTTATAGGCAAACAAATGAATAATGAATTTACTGTAACATCTTCATTTGATCTACTCAGCTGTAAAATATTAACGTTCTCAAAGCTGAAGTAACTCAGACACTTAAGACATGCTAATGAACCAAATTCATTTCTGCAGATGCAATTAAAATCCTCATCTTTATCTATGCAGTCCAGGTTAAAAAGGTTGATACCAGGCTGCAGGACTACAAATGAAAAAAAAGAGAGCTAAACAGAAATTACGACATGGAGATGGAAAGCTGAAAGTCCCAGAGAGAAATGATCTTGCCTTGCAGCAGGAATAATGATCAGGCTGCCAAGACACAAAAGCAATCCAAATGGAATCAAAGGAAAAAGAGAAACAAAATTAGCAAAGATCTTCATCTCTAATAACATGTAACACTGTTTATATTTCATGTTTGAAATCTCACTTGGTTTTCTGCTATAACAATATGATACATAAAAATGATAGCGCAAGAAAAAATAACAAAGAAATGTTGTCATCCTATTCTTTTCCAACACAGATGTTCCCACTGCCTCTTCGGCATCAATGATGTTAATTACATGTAGCTACTGTATTCGGAGAAGAGGTAACCAGTATCCATTGAGCTGCAGAATCTGAGATTGAAGCTGAATTATGTACTGGATAGCTGTAATGCTCTGCACTGAGCGCAACAAACTCAAGCTATGAACACAGAATGAGCTAAATTATGCACAAAAAATATGCAAACATAAGCACTGAATACACAAGCAATCCACTGACTAGATTGTCTGGTTTCTCACTCCACTTAGGGAATGTATTGTTTCTGAATGCTAATCACTTCTGGAGGTGATTACTATTCTGATCAGTGTTTTTTTAGGGTGCAGTCAGCAAAGACTAGAGTTAGCTTAAAACTCTGCTAGGCAATTATTGGAGAGAATGCGAAGAATTTTGTTTAGTTACATTAAAATATCTTTCTAGACAGTGGCTGTCTGTGGCCTGTAGTATTAAGATAAACTCCCACAAACTTAAGTATACCTTCTGCAATGGGCTGCTTATTAGGATCAGATTTTTTCTTCACACTGATGCTATTTAACAGCAACTTTAAATAAGTAATTAGTGAAGAAATGGGCAAAACTTCATTTGCTCATTTCCAAACAACAGACAGTTCCCAGACTAGAAAAGACCTGTAAACTCAAGATAAAATTAAAAATTCTGTTAAAATTACCCACTGCTATGTACTAATTGCCATCAAGTATGTACAGGCAGTGGTGTTAATGTAGGTTGAAGTTATATGTGGAAAGTGATTCTATAATTAGAATGCTATACATTGCTTGAACTGCAAAAAGCCTACTCTATTTTTAGAAGTGGTGTAAAGGGTAAAAGAATAAATATATATGTGCTTTGATAAGTCTCCAGAAAGGAATAACTGCTGCCAAGAGGTTCAAGTTATGTCATCATTGCAATGAAATGTATCCAGCCATATGCAAAAGACATCATTGCCAACAAAGTACAGCATTAGGCTTTATGGTGTACTCTGCCTTGTTCCAAGCTTACAAATGCAAAAACATCATTTTGAAATTAAGCTCATCCATGAATTACTGAAATACCAACTATTATCCAGTTACCTCTGTAAGATACTTTTTACTGATTTAAAACCCTTCTGGATGATACATCTCCTCTCCCCCTCCTTAATCTCTCTCTTTCTGAACTGTTCTTGATCGTCTGTATTTATGGCATTTTTTAAGATGTTGCACAGTGCCTTAGATATGCTAGCTTTTTGTACCTTCCACCAGAAAGCAGCCCGCTTTCCACTTGTAGCTCCTTGCCTCTTCACACAGGTTTCTAGTGTACCTTAGAATGCCTATAGCTGCATTTTTCCTGTGACATTCTTGTTTGTTATTCATCTCCTGGACTGACTTGCAAACCCTGGTACTGCTGTTACGGCAGGTTCCCAAGGGAATTGATTACCACTGATATTAGAATCACTCCCTCTTTCTCTGCCTTTATGATTTCTACATTTGGTTGAAGCTTCTGGCTTACGCTATAGGACTCAATAACGTGTTCGCAGAAAACTCAGCAATGAACTAGCTGTGTAGCATCTTCCCTAGTTTATGTCCAACAGTGACAGCATCATGAGTGGGAATAACCCACGAGTGCATCTTCACAGAAAATGCAATTACTGTGCAAAAAGTAGGACGGGGGAACCTCCTGCTCTACTGGAAAGGGTGTTGAGGGTTGAATACCAGTTTCACTTCGTCATCTGAGGAGGGTTTTTCCCTTTTCTTTTTCTTATCATCTTTCTCTTCTGCTTCTTTTATTTTTTTTCCATTCTTTCCCTCCTCTCCAATAACGTGCACTATTAGAACTGATGAACGCCACCAAATATGGACTCACTAGTATATCTTCATGCAACACACAGTGCTCTGTTACTACTCTTTCCATCACTTTCCTTATCATAAAATGAACAAACAAAAACCAAAACCCAAACTATTTTTTATTTCCATTTACCAATACCCCGTATTTTTTATAACACTTCTAATAATATCCGAATGTTATCTGTGGTTCTATTAGAACATTATTCTTACGTTTTAGTGTTTTATTTTCCTGATTTTACTTTGTTCTGTAAAATTGAATTTGAAATACCACAGATAATTTTGTATTCTATTACTGTATATGATGTTGTAGTTTTCCTAGCAACCAGCATGTGTTAAAAATCCTCCCTGATCTTAGGTAATGCTGAATCTATACCATATAAAACTGAAACTGAATGCTGTTGACATACATTACCTCCCTCATAACAGGGTGATACAATCATTCTTGTCACTATAAATGAAGTAACACTTTTGGTCACTTATTAATATTTCCAGTATGACTAAAACAGAAAAGAACTCAAAATCACTGTGAATAAAGAAATTTCAATTTTTCCAAACTATAAAAAAATTACTAAATAAGAGGCATGATCTCATACTTTCACAATGGAACTAAGATATTTCCTACAAAAGTGATTTTCAGAGTAGAGACACTTTTAACTGGGGGCAGCTGGAAAAAAAAAATCAGTTCTTATGCATATAAGGCAGGCAAACATACATGAAAGGAACAAAAACCTTATGTTAGTGATAACTTAGGTACAATATTATTACCCTTGCATATGTTTTCCTTACCCTGGACCTCTCCTCTAGTTTTGTCATCATGACGACAGTTGCACCTCGTTGTTCCCACATCATTCTCCAGAAGTCACCAAAGGTTTCTGGCAATGCCCCTTGTGTGGCTATATAAGCATTCTGCTTCCTGTAACCATCTATGTAGTTGGCATTGATATAGTCACTGCCTGGTATGCCTGCAAAGAGAGGAGAGTGAAAATACAAGGCAGCATTTCTATGATGTCCTATTGTACAAAATCCCGTGATGCAGCCAGATCAGTGAATCTTAGCTTGCTGCATGCCAAGTAGCACATGGGTACTTTCAAGTGAGTGTATGTCATTTGTGGTGCTGAGAAGCATGATAGTCTCTCTGGGTATAACTATTCTTTTGAAACAAAAGACTCTGTCTGACATACAGGGAAGATTCCCCATCAGATACCCTGAGCAGGCTCCTTAAACCCTCCTGTTGAGCTCACTGCATTTCTTGTATATATAGAAAAAAAAATAATGTTGTCAGACTATTAATATCACTGCAACATTTATTTTTGCCCATTACATGGGAAGATAATTATAAGCTTTATTTTATCAAAACACATTATGTAAGTCAGGTTTAAGAAACAGTGAAATCTGCTATATGGTGTATGTATGACATAAAGACCTCTTCAAAACTGAGTAAGAATTAAATGCAAGAAAAGAAGGTGGAATCCAGGACCTGTGTCCACACTGGATGTACGTCAATTGCTCGAGGTTCAGGTATGTTGGACAAGACGTACAGAGGGACTTTGATTGTGTCTACCACACCCATGGGAAGCTGGTCAGTTCCTTTCTACAGTCTTTTTAACTCAGGGTGTGCAGTACCATGCCTGTACTGAGAGCCGGAACATGCTGCCTGCCAAGGTCAAGGAGGTGTATTTGCTATAGTGAAGATCACAGTACTAGTCCGTACTAATAAGGCAGCCATACTAATGGAAATGGACAAATATTCTCAGTCCACTGCTGAATTCAGCAGTGCAGTGTCCAGTTTTTAACTCACACTATGTGCGTGCCAGAAGATAAAGCATGGAAGGCATCAGTTTTTATGTCATTGCTGTTTTATTAACTGATGACTTGAGTAAGAAGAGAGACTCCTGTGAGATCTCAGTGCAGGCAGGACGGCAAAGCAGTCTTACTACAGTGTTGGAACTCAAAAGTGTTCCCCAAAAGAGTTAGCTGAAATACAGATCTGTGCATCAGAATAAAATAATACAAGAAGGTTTGTTAAAGTAATTGACAGAAACTACTTCTTTGAGTAGAAATGAATTATTTACATATACACAGTCAATCTGCTCTCCACAAGTCTACAACCCCAGGATATGGTGCAGGTTTTCAAAAAAGAGTCAAGGTGGTGATATCAGATTCCTGACTTATTGTAAAGCTATAACTGTTTTCACTCCACACAGCTACAAAGTTGAGTTTCTTTGGCTATGAAACAGCATATATCATCAAAGATGTTTAAATAAGTGCTTCCCAAGATTTTTGTCAGAAACTGAATCTTCAAATCTATCCTGATGCATTATCTTCTGTTGGCCATCCTAAACCAGAAGTTATTGGAGCTGCATACTCTTGTCTTTCCTGAGAAGCAGTGACAATGGTAAACACATTTTGGAAAACAATTTGAATTTGAATGGAAAATAGAGGTACCTCTTTAACTCTTTGATTGTCTTGTTGTTTTTCACTTCCATTTAAAGAGTTTCTACACGTATTTTAGGTGACCTTAGTGTTTGATTCCACCAGTCACTTAGCAATGAACAAACTCATTCACTAAATGTGATACTAAATTAATCCACCTGTAGTCTAACCTGTAATTTTGCCTTTGCACTCAAAAAAGTTTCATATATGTTCTTGTTTTATCATTTATTATTTCTCATATTTAAGCTTACATTTTAATTTTATTTTAGTTTCTGTACACAATTAAAAGAAAAACCTGACAAAATATTTCAGCTATGGAAAGATTTCATAACTTCAGGGATATAAGAGAGGCAGAAAATGGCATTCCTCAGAGAAGATGCAGGAATGGATGTAGGAAGACTAGCTGACTCTGATTCGAGCTGATTGAAAGTCTCTTCTGGGAGAAAAATAAAACAAAACAAAAAAAAGCTTTTAAACCTGCATGATCTATAGCTGAAAAACATCACTTCCCTCCATGAAAGGCAGAAATTGGAGTTCAAAAGCATCAGTCTTGTAGACTTGAAGTTGTTTTAGATGAAACTTCTTACTGCAGATATTGGAACTAATGACTTAGAAAATACAACTGCTAGGCACAATACTGTATTTTCTTCCTTTATCAAGATAATAAAACATTTTTTCACAAAACAGATGAGAAAGAAAAATGAAGTCAACACGAGAAATCTACACCAACTGGGTTTTATTACCAAAGGAACTGAGAAAGCTGGTAAGAAATGTTTTCTGCATAAATTAGAATGACATTATGATGCCTGGTATCATACTTTGAAGCACATGTTATAAATAAAAGCCTAAGGAAAAAATGAAAAACAACACTTTGTAAAGTGGTTAAATGATCTTCTGGGAAAGCTGTTCTCTGGAACTGATACTGCACAAACTCAGCATGAAAATTAAGCGTGATAAACTCTTCAATAAAGAATAATCTTTACCAATCTTAGCAGCCACTCCTAGTATCTGATATAAAAAAAAATCCAGAATGTCTAAAATTGTAAATACTCTTTCTACTTACTATCTTGTTTTTAATTGATTAATAAATCATATTAAAATAAATAACTTTTAAATTAAATAATAATTCTTTAAACTGGAATGAAGAGAAGCTTCCAGATTATACTCTTCCTGATTACAGATTCAAGTGAGAAAGAATTAAGATTAACAATTACTAACAATTGCAAAGAGGATTTCTTCCCATCTAGATTAAAGTGGAAATTTTCACTCTGTTTTTCCACTTGACTTTTATAAAGAGGACAAAAAATATCCTGTATGGCCTTTAGCCAGAAAAGTTATTTTACATGACAAGTCAGCCTCATGGCACATGAAGAGGATATAGCTAGGATACGGAAGTCCGTTAACCAAAGGCCCTGAGCAACTGTTAGTGACTTAACTAATGCAGTTTTGGAAAAAAATAACCTAGGTGCTATTCCAACACTTGCACTGAGAGAAGATTTTCATCAAGGGTTTATCTCTAGCAGAATGCAGCACTCAATTGGGTTATATCTCTCCTGAGATCAAGAGAACAGTAGGGTTCACAATGCTCGGCTCCATTGTCTCACACAGTATCTAGTAGGTATTTTCTTTATTTTCCATAGTCCCTTCAAGTATCACACGCATTTCTCAGTCTCTTTTCATCACTATTATCATGCATGACCTCAGTTTCCCATCCTGTTCCAAAATCCTTTTGTATTCTGTAATACCATTTCCCCACTCTCACTTCCTATCTTGCACTTTGCCACATGAGTTTTTGCTTCATCAGCTATGTCCCCAGTATGCATAAACTTAAAGCCCTCTAGGGAAGGTGACTTGTCATAAGAGGACTAATGAATTGAGTGCAGTTTAAAAATAACAAATTCAAAACCTCAGGATCTGTAAGTATCTACACTGACCAAACATTAAAAATTATCAAAGGCAAATAAATTTAAATATTAAAATGTCACGTTCTGCAATGACTTTTCTGGCCATAACCTCATTCTGAGCCTAGAAAGCTGAACAACTCTCTGTCAAGTCTAATAGTGCAAAAACAATCAAATGTCAACAAATTTGACTGCAGTACAGTGAAATCCTACAAACCTTTGTTAGCTGCCATAGCTTGAAGGCAACATACCCGCAAGCACAGCAACAATTGCCATCATTACTTAAATTTGGGTTTCATAGTTAAGAGAGGTCAGTTCTGTAAAAACATGGGTCAAGAAGGGGACAAAGCAACCAAATTCTTCCTTCACTAATATTGATATGAACCTTACCTAAGTAATTGGCCTCAGTGGGGTTTACTGTCTTTAGGATGGCATACCTGAAGTATAAATTTAGGATAATCCTGACTTTTACAAGTTTCTTGAAAGCGGAGACACAGTTCTGCACAAGAAGTCAGCTAAAGACCAAGCTTCTGAACCATAATTCTACTATAACTATTTTCTAGTAGCCTTTTCAACTATAGTGATGAATGACCAGAGTCTAAAATCTCCTTTTTTAGTGAGACTGGAATCAAGCACAATGAGGGAAGAATCAGATGAGCAGTTGAGTACAAAAGACACTACATTTTCAAATACCTCAAGAGAAAAACGCAGTCCAGATTTTACAAAGTAAGAGTAAAAGATCAGTGAAACAAAATCATTTATTCAATGCCACAACTAGAGTGCAAAATATTAAAAAACCTTGAATTGTATTGCTCCCCATTTATGCTGAGAACTCATGAGCCAAAATGACAGTACATCTTACTATAATATAGGCTCATATCCACAAGGTTAACAATGTAAACCTCAGGAATGATTCACCTGATTTCCTGAAGACAGTTATAATCTTAAATACCTTTACTTAGACTTTACATTTTATTCACAAAGTAAAATCAAGTAATGAAATTATTTTAACCCTTTACGAAGCCTTGCTACTGAACCACGCTTCTCTCTGAAACAAATTAAATGATAAACTTTTGTTTCTGCACTGCTTCCCTAGGACATGTGCTCTTAGTCATAAATAGTGTGAATAGGATTAAATTAAATCATGCATCTTCCAACATAAACAAGTTGGGAAAATATAATGATGAACCCAAAATGCTTGATGAAGTTGTACTTACTGGTTTAAATCAATGATTGGTGTTTTGAACGATGTTATAGTAAAACTCTGTGTCACAGAATCACAGAATATTCTGAACTGGAAGGGACCCATAAGCACCACCAAGTCCAAGTCCTGGCCCTGCACAGGACCATCCTCAAGGGTCACACCATGAGCCTGAGAGCTTGTTCAAATGCTTCTCTAATTCAGACACATCTCATGATGCGACCACTTCCCTGGGGAGCCTGTTCCAGTGGCCAATCACACTCTGGATGAAGAATCTTTTTTAAATATTTTCTAATATTTTTCTAATACTCAAACTAGAAATCAAAATCTAACATGACATCATCATACTGTGATTACTTTATAGCTGTCTGAAGATGGATTTAGTGATTCTTCAACTCTTTAAGACCAAGTAATACAGAAGTTAATAATCAAAGGAGTTCTGTTTTGAATAGAAATATAAATTATACTCTAAACGATGCACTAAAAAGGCTGTTGAATGCCTCTACTGAAACAAAATTTAATGATTTCTTGATATAAAAATGGTTTGATATTTCCTTCAAAACCCAGTTACAATATGAGTGTGCGCAGTAAACAGGTACTAAATCTTCATTTACCCATTCAGGAGCAAATCCACTGAATGTTTTCCTAAAGCTTTCCCCAATGGAAAATATGGCTATGCCTACATTCTAGGATGAATGGACATATAATTACTTTATAAGCATATATTATTAGCAGAAAACAACTCAAATGCAATGTGAGAGCACAAATAATTTGTATAGTTCATGACTCTTCAGTAGATATTCAAGAATTTATATTGCCCAAAACAATTTCTAAACTCAAAGATGTTGGCCTGCATACTCAAAACTGATTTACTGGCAGTTAGCCACGAGAAAAATAAGAGTATTAGCAGCTTCTTGCTTTTTCTTTTTTGACCATTTGTATTACAGTCAGATTTCTAGTGTTAGCAGCATATTAAAGTCACTAAATTTCCCATCAAACAAAAATTACACTGCTGAAATATGATATTTTATTTTTTTTAATAACTAGCATTATGCAAATACATGCCACATGTAGTAGATTTTTAGTCTTGGACATCTCCTAAAAGAATTGGTAAGACTTTTTAAAATGTATAATGTTTAACCATCTTTTCCTCATTTTCATTTACTTAGAGGTTTAAGGTCACAAACCTAGATAATATTCTGCCATTATACTTTAAAAGTCCAAGTGTCCATCTCAGTCACGTCACAAGACAGCACGATACGAGCAATCAGATTTCAAGAACATGGGAACAAAATTTCACAAAGTAGAATTTTCTTTCAGGAGGAAAATCAATTTACCACATCAAACCTGAGTTTTCCCTCCAGAGGGACACCTAATGTAATAAAATTTAAACAGTACTGAAAAAAGTATTCCTGCAAGTGAGCAATGACGTGTGGAACTCCATGCTACACATAATTAGAGAGGTCAAGAACTTAGTAGGGATTCAAAGCCAGGTTTCAAGATGCGTAACAGGAGCGACGAAAGGTACCAAAATCAACCCTTTGAAAGTGTTACTAAACTTTGTATTTCAGAGCTAATGCTATTTTTAACAACTTATTATCAATAGTTGGAAAGAAGTAATTTTAAGTCTCTGCTAACTGCTTCTTAAGACTTTCTAGGAATCACTTTTACTGGCTACAGAGTTGGGCAACTGTACAAAACTGGCCTTGTGTCCCATTCTAAAGTAGCAATCACAGCATTCCATATTTGTGTAACACCATCAAGAGGCAAAATGATGATCAGTGTAAGGTTACAGTTTGGCAGATGCTTAGTTTCTTGTTCACATATATTTGCTCTTAAACAGGGACCAAGTGTCTAGATGTAGAATGGAGCTCTTCATCTTAGAAAGAGCACAGTTATGCAAACCTCACTAATATTAGTCTTCCCTTGGCCATCAAAGAAATGCAGATGAGGCCTGTATGTAAAACCTAGCCAAATATTCTCCTATAATTGTAACAAAATATAATGTTGTCCCAACTTAGGTCTTGATCAAGTTGTATAGTAACATAGGTAAAGGAGAATATATTTTTAAAATCATTGATTTCCCTGATAGCATGAAAACAAACATAGCTGTCAACTAAATAAGGTGCTGGGCAGACAGTATATTTTCATTATTTGGAATATTTACTTAAAAACCGAAAGAGAATTACTTATTTTTAAATGCTAAGACCAATGTATTAAACTTATAAAAGTATACACACAAAATTTCAGCTACAGAATCATGTAAAGTCCCAGGGGTAAAAAATGTTAAGAATATAATTATATAGAAAATTATTTCTGTTTTCAAGACCAATACAATTATCATCGCATAAAAAGGCATTTAATACTTTATCTATATTGCTTTTTTCACCACCACCTAAAGACTGAAAAAATACTTAAAATCATGCAAATCACCAAATGGGCCAAAATCCCATTTGTGGTTATATATCTAACACTGATATTTCAAAAAGCTATAATATTTTAATTTAAGGTCAATAATTATTAAAGGAATAGAAATTTTAGCCTCATATGATATTTCTTACTTTAAAAAAGGGACATTAGAGTTTAACTGTATTTTGTCCTTGTTCCATAAAATACTCCTTCCCAGGTGCAATGTATTTTTTTCCATGTTTTTATTATCTCTTATTTAAAAACATACTGTAATGTACTGTAGATTTGATAATTTTAATTACTTTGATAACATTTTCTGTTTCACCTCTTAGATGTTCTTCCTGTTTTCTGAAAATATTATTTTTTCTTTATGGGAACCGAATTTCATCGGTCATTTATATAAAGGGGAAAATGGTAGAACTTTTTAAGCTCAGATGTGTGATATATAAATTTCTTTGCATTTAGTTTTTTTCCTTCCCTTCTGTCCCCCTTTAATACAACCCTTTTTTCAAACAAAATCCTTTGAAAGATTTGAGTCTTCTTTCTGTCAGTTAGACATATTTCTGAGTTAAGCACTTTGTTCCAAAGAACTTTACATAACACTTCAGCAAGGCTGTCCAATTGCTGTTCCTGGCCTATTCGGACCATGTACTTAGCCCTCCTCTCTGGACCAGTGGATATAAGAGGATACATTTAATGAATTACATCATATATACTCCTAATTAAAATACCATCTCTTCAGTGTTGAGACAGTTTTACCAGGTAGTGGCAGCTTTCTATACAGCTATATCCTTTTACAAGGCAACATGAAAAATCTAAGTGACATTGCAGAAATATCTTGTCAGAACTGCTATATGAACCTCAGAGGTGGAACAAACATAAGAAGATTATCATATGGAAATTCTTCAAGGCAATCATTTAAATTCGCTAATACGTTTGAGAAGCTCTTATCTGTGTTATCAAAGCCTATGGTATGCAGCTGCAATAAGTGAGGGAAGATCTAAACTTCAATCAGTGAGATTGCCTTTTTCTTCACCAAGCAGCTAATATTAAAATGGATTACACCTATAAATCCAGTGTCTTCAGGTCGGGAGCAGCCAAAGATAAGAAGCTGTTTAGAACTGTAAATTAAAACACCTTGCAGTTTAACTTGCAGCATGTTTTAACTGAAATAATTACAACCTTGAATACAGTTCCCAACCTCATATGTATCGCATGCAAGTCCTGCACGAGTTAACTAAAGGCAAATTTTATTTTCATTTAAATAATTTCACTTATAAAATATATAATTTTTTAGATTCCAGCCATCATTAATATTTGACAGTCAACAACATAAAGTAAAAGTCTCTCTTCAACCCAGCAAGCAGGTTAATGGTAAGGCAGAATTGGCAAAAAATAAGAAATCCTCTGAGTGAAAGCCAGTGTTTCCTGCTGCTTTAGCTCTTGAGAAGAGAGAGACAATATCAAGGGCTGACCACCTCCATGAGTTTGTTTAAGTTAAAACTTTAAACTGTCCAAGTTTTAGGAAAGCTTTTTGACAAAGATAAAATTAAGAACTCTCACTATACCTCACTGCCAATCTTTAGTCAGTGAAATACTCAGGTTCCAACAATGTCTGCATGTGGGCATTCTTTTAAACACTCTTGTTTAACATTCCGATTGTAAAAGAAAAAGAAAAAAAAAGTTTAAACAGAGAGTTCTTAAAATTGCCCCAGAGAACATAAAGTTGATTTTTTCCCATACTGAGTTTTGACCACTAAAACTCACTGAGCAGATATGTTGATAAGACATCGTTCAACAAAACCTTCAGTTCATGTATGTTCACTGCTACGTTTGCTTTGCACTGTTAGTATAAGTAAACAGCAATATTAATTTGCTTTAGACAACACATTGGCATATACACAGGGATCTGATGCAGTCAGTGTTATACATGAAACCCTGTACATTTCAGTGTAAGTTCATAATATATTACTGACAATAAACATCAGAAAAGATTGTCATTATAGGAATTTACTGGAAGTAAATTAATTAATTAATTAATTAGCACTTCATTATCTTACTATGTCAGCATATTGATTAGTAAACATATACTAGATTTTAGGAGTCAATTACTTTAATTTTAAAGGCCTCCTTACCTTCTATTGCTGAGAGTAGAACACGAGAATGGTCGTATGCAATTACATTCGCGTATCTATTCTTTGGTTTGTTTACTTCCAGGTTAGAGTGTTCCCATGTGAACTGCTGACCAGGATCAATAGACTTCAAAAGAGAAAGAGAAGAAAAGGAAAGGAAAATTTCAGCTATGGACTACACAATTGTTTTATTTATAATGATTACAAACTAAAATCCCACAGTTTACTCTGGAAATAATTTGCTTTTGAAAGAAAATTATTACTTCAGGACACATTGTACATACTATATCCTGTTACCTAAAGCATTTTGTATTTATGCACCTGAAGTTTCCATGAGGAATTTAAACCTTAATATTTTAAAATCCAAGGCCTTCTCTTCAGAAAAGCAAGCTATCCATCTTTTTATCTTTTCATTCATTCTCACAAGAGAGGGGTTCTAGCATAACAGAGAATGAAAAAATGTCAGAAACTGTAGAAAAACTGGGATGAAGGGGAATAAATATTTTTGCCTCTCCTTAGTAATAAGTGCTTGTTCAAAAATTTAAGTGTCCTGTTTACTAAATAAACTCCAAACATTCCTGAGTAAGTTTTCCAGAAGAAAAAATAATGTTTCTGTTCTTTCATTTTGATGCCAGGCCAACACATGATACCACTCTTGCTCAGAAAACCAACTGCATATCATCCACAGATAACATGAAGCTTGCTTTTTATTTTTTTGAGTAATAAATAAGTAATCAATTCAGGCATATTTGAAGCTTTAATGATCTCTTATTAATAAACACAACTATACGTTTTTAGATTGTTTATTTGCTGTTTTCTTCATGTTCCAGGACGGAGATACAGAAGCATGCCCCCCACTCCTTCATCCTTTACCACTAGGTAAACTTTCCAGATCCTACTACTTTTATCTCTATGGTTGAGCAATATATGCAGCTAAGTAAATACAAAATAGATAACAGATGGTACCTGCTGATGCATGCTATGGTAGAGGCTGTATGAAAGGTCATCTCTTAACTACAAAGTTATGAATAATCACCTGTTGTTTTACTTTCCCCTTCTGTAACCTTAATATTGTTTCATCATGTATATGCCATTATGGCTTTAGGTTTATGCCCTTTGCTTAATCCTGGTAGGAACTGGCAGTTCCCTATGTGAGGCTGCTGTAAATTATAAAACAAATGATGACACAGATAAGCCTAGATGGGCCAGTTTGCCAGCACAATGTTCATTTTCCATGAGTAGACAGCAACATGGCACAATTCAGAAGATCCATACTGCCACTACAGCATCAAGCCATTGCTGTTCCTGACTCCTATCAGGGTTACAACAGCTGCAAGGCCATTTTGTGTTAATGGAAATGAAATATGACTTTTAATCTATTAGAGTAGGTATTACTTGAAAATGAGCATGTGCAAAATTCATTAATGTGATCTATTAGGACTTGTCCCTTAGATTAACAATTACTATTTGGCCAGTCAGAAAACTCTTTCATTCTCATGCACATTTACATATTTTATACAACTTATTTATGTAATATTTAGAGAATGATTTTGCTTCTTTATTGAGATGATTCTAAAAAAAAAAATTGCCTGGTTGCCTCAGAGAGAGCTTTTAGAGTATTCCAGAAATTCTGTTTAGGAAAACAAATACCTTAGGAAAACATGCACATTTTCCTAATAACCCTGACCCAATTAAATTTTGTAACAGTAAGCACTTACTTGTTCTGAGTTTTATTTTCATTACAGACCTCTGGAGCTGGGCCTGATTGAGTTTCCATGTGTAACCTAGCTATGGAGAGCAGAGGAGTGTGCTCATGCAGGCTCACCCTTTGCATACTGCTTTACCTACAGTATCTGAGGCAGAGTGTTTGGAAGCTCCTCCTTCAAAAGGAAATGAAATGGGACTTTTTAGAGGAACGAGGAACAAATTAACTGCTTGGGACTTTGATGAAGCCCATGAAAATTCTACTTGTGATTTGGATATGATTCATTTGAGTTGTACTACTATGTGTAGTACTAACAGTCCAAACGGCGTTATTAAATGCAGCTCTGAATGAATCTGATTTTTTAAATTTCTACACAAATTTTGCGCCCAAAATGATTTTGTTTTTAAAAAAGCAGTATTTGTGTTCCCTATCTGAAAAATTTGTGTGACTGTGCTTAACATATCGTAAAATGTCAATAGTATTAGTAATATTAAGTTAGTATCTTTAGGCTAATTAAAAGATTTACAAAACTGGGGATGACTGCTTTTTTTGAGCCCTATTGTATTTTGTTCTCCTATAAAGGAGCAAGAAACTATTCCCCAGTTACTATTCTGCCTCTTGAGGTGCTTAAGTATAAACACAGCAATCTGATCCAACAGTAGGGCTTCACTCTTCTCCAACAGAAATACTACTTTTTCTGACTAAAAGGTGAAATTCTTATTTATCAGTAGAAAATGGTAAAATTTTAGTTTGCAAAGTTTTCATTTCATTTTCTTACAATTTATTTTCATTACAGTAATGTTCTCCCATCCTCTGAGAAGGATGGTTAGTAGAATTTTGAAGCAGGTACTTCAAATTTAAGAACCTGAGTATTTTTGTCTTTACTGCTAAGTGCTATTTATCTCATCTAAGGTATAGAGAAAGAATTTGGACAACATTTGCATCAGTGCTGGGAAGAGAAGTGTCCTACACATATATAACATACCCAAGAAATGTAATATACCTCTTTATCATCTGACTAGCATTTCACCTACATCATACAACTCAGAAAGTAATGTAATTTGCACAATTACTTCTCTCAGCACAACACTCCCCTCTTTTTGAGTTAATGGAGGTAAGTAAGATAACTTGTGCAGAATATTTGCAGGCCAAGTTTTCAGAATTTTGGAAAGTGAATACAGTGTGGAAAGTAATCAGTGTGGATTCAGCTCAGAATTACAGTAATATTTTAGAACATAAACACAGTAATTTCAAAATAAAAACAAGATAATAACAACTATATACTACTGCATCATACTCTAAATATCTTTTAAAATAAAATAGACTATTTGACCATGAATAACGCACATCTATAATATCTGTGACTACCTAGTCAGTATTTTTTGAGAGGCATACAGGCAGCATGCTATCTAAATGACCCAGAATGACATACACTACTCTGCATTGTTCTAGGTAGATAACTGAAAGAGACTATCTGTCTGATCTTTTAGGTTTTTACCTACATTCCAAAAATATTCTGGAAATTACTTCACAATATAAGATGCCACATGTACTTTCTCTTTACATTTGATAGGAAAATATACCGGCTGGCTAACATGCTGCTAGTTTTGAGCCTGGACTGCAGAACTCTGGGTTTATACAAACTAAACCAAGATGTACACATAAAAAAATATATCTATTTGCAATTACAGGTACTTAGGTACTTGAAAGCAGTAAGTTTTAGGGGCAGTTTTGCATATACAAACAAAATTAGGCAATTGCATTGATTATGGCCTAAGATAATGGTCTAACATTCCTGTCCATTTTGAGAAACACCTTCAGCTCTACATTATACCCATTTTTCATGTGAATTTATAGATTATTAAGAATACTTTACCTTTAAAGCTTAGCTTCAACTGTTCAGTATTATTCTTCCACTTTTCACTCCTTAATGTTTAAGCGATCTAAAACTACTCTTCAGTATCAAGAAAAATCCCAAACCTACACTTTGCCTGATGTATGGCCAGCTGGTACAACTCATTGATTAATATTTAGGTCTACATGCAGACATAGTTAACATAAATTATCAAAAGAAGGCAAATGGATTGAACTTTAGTATTGCCTGTTCTTCTCACCAATTTGAACCACTCTGCGACCTTACTATCCTCCCATAAAGCACCATTTTTGTCAAAAGAAAGTTAATCTGTATTTCCTCAGACTTAATAGCCACACTGGAACAAAGAGTTGAGTGGTATTGGCAGATGCATTTCAGAAGTGTGAAAGACCAATAACTCATGAATAACAACTCCGTACTAACAGTTTTAATGGGTGCTTTAATGGTTTAATGGATGGCATTTTAATAGGATTTCTAGTATTTTCATTCTGAAAGCTTGCCTTCAATAAAGCTGTCATTAACAAAGAACTGGATTTCTTCATAGCATAACTGTGAAGTATGGGTGCTTTGTGCAAAAGAAATAAAGATATCTGTAATACTGTTATTTTCCTCCCAAGCTTTGACAAATCTTTCAGCTATTGTGTTCTAAATGACTGCCTGTTGAAAAAAATCTCATCTGTTAGTGAGAAAAGACTGGAGCAATATTTACTAGCATAATGCACCATCCATAAAATAGTTCATTGACTAATAATCATGATAACCAAAATATGTTTCCAGAAGAATTTCAAGCAAGCCCTCTCCAATAAACTGTATAAGTGCTCACTGTGCAGTTTTCCTTTACACCACTTAAACAAGAAGAAAATGTTCCCTGCTGTAACTGTGAATGTTCCAGGAGCATATCTTGGTTCAGTACTGAGGAAGGAATTAGTATGACAAAGTGCTACCACTTCTGGTGTAAGCTGGCACACATCTGCCTGCTCTTGAACAGCGCTGTACTAAGGGTCACTATACCAGCAAACTAGGAGTCAGCAGTTTTTGTGGAATGTAGGGATTGTGAGTTACTTCACAAGTTTCACAAGCCCAGAAGAAGAAGGAAGCATGTCCTGTAAAGAATTTCCTAGCACTGTAGGTCCTGTATTTGCAGCTTAAACTAAATCATCGAAGACCACTGTTTAACAGAGAAACCAAGTAGAGAAAGAAGAATGAAAAACTTGAGACGATGTCAATGCAAACAGCACAACTGGAGAAAGTACTCAACTATGCATAAAAATAAGTTTGACCCTCTTTTACCAATGTCAGCAGTTGTGATGAGAATTTCATACCACAGCTGATGAATTTATAATAGAGTGCTATTGTATTATGCAGGTAGCTTGCTAATAGAATGAGATTTATATACTGCATTACCAAAACATGAATGTTAGATTAATATATGATCATGGCAACTTGCCAACTGGAATTATGGTTTTTAATCAAGACAGAGACTTTCTCAGCACACTGCAAAGACTATAATTTTCAAGAACACGGGGGAAAAGCCCACATATTTTATACG